GCTGCCACTATTGCATCGATAAAATAACCTCTGATATTTACAGTCTACTTAACAAAACAATCTCCACTTAAGGTCTACATCAGACATTCTTATTAAATTTCTCCAATAATCATTACCATAAAAGATTTGTCATCCTTTTCATAACGAAATTCCTAATAACTAGTGAGGAGATGGAGAGGGAGTAGGGGTTAAGGATGTGGGTTGAGAGGAGCATTGACATTAGGTGTAGTTGCGATGCTACTATTGAGGACGGAAATGGTGAGACAACGCCATTCATTCAGGGAGGGAGATGTGTTGTTTTCTGATTTTAGTTTTGAGAAGAAATTTGGTTTATACAAATTGCATATGACGAGAAGTGAAAGTTTTCCTAGTTTCTGAATATTAAGGGTAGTAAGCACTTTGACTTGGGGAATAACTAACAAAGCTACATGGTTGGGATTTAAGTTCAAGCTTGTGCTTGTTGTAGGAGCGAATCCTTGGGTAGCAGAGATAATCAAAACTTCAAAGTTATAAATAGTCGAAAGGTTTGATAAATAGTTTTAAGTATGGTGAAGACCTTTGTAGAGTTGGAGTGAGATGACTGTTGATGAAGTAGACTGTTGTGGTGAAGGCTAATGGCCTATGGGTAATAGTATATAAGCATGACTAAGGATAGACTGGTTTTGCAATATGTTGATGTCATCATTCGGGGTGTGTTTTGCATGAGGGACAAAACAAAAAACTTGTTGTTTCTATGTTTGGTGTGATGTTAGACTTTGATATATGGGACATAACTAAGCAGGAAAAATGCATTTTCTTGTCCCGTCATTAATATTAATATAGGTGGAACAAAAACAAAAATGAGAGAGATGTGACTATTTACTAAATTACTAGACTACCCTTGGAATATCACTTTCACCACTTGAATTCAACTTCACCGACCAAATATATTTTATGTAATATATATTAATTTATTTTATATATATATATATATATATTATATTATATTTATGTATTATAAATATAACAAAAAATTATTATGTTACTCAAGTTTGATATATATATATATAGAGAGAGAGGGGTTGGTTATTATACAACCCTTGACATTTGTGCAACCAATACAACCCAATCTCAACCGTCCATTTCATTTGATTAATATGTGATTTCATAGAAGTTTTGATTGTTTCCTAACATAAAGTATTGATCATAATTAATGAACCATATTTATCTTCCATAAATATTCAAATCATAATAAATGAACTCATCATTTCCATAAATATCTCAATTTATTGGGTTGCATTGGTTGTTTCAAATACAACCTGTTGCATTTGTACAACCAATGCAACCCAATAAATTGAGATATTTATGGAAATGATGAGAGTTCATTTATTATGATTTGAATATTTATGGAAGATGAATATGGTTCATTAATTATGATCAATACTTTATGTTAGGAAACAATCAGAATTTCTATGAAATCACATATTAATCAAATGAAATGGACGGTTGAGATTGGGTTGTATTGGTTGCACAAATGTCATGGGTTGTATAATAACCAACCTCTCTATATATATATATAGTGTTGTTTCATACATTCAAACAAAAAATACACATATAAAAAATTAATAACATTGTGAAATAATATTGTACTTTCACATGCATTGTATCACAATATGGAACAACGCATGAAGGTTCTGACGTGATCCTAAGTATATATAATAATATATTTGTGTATTATAAAGTTATGGTAAATGTACATCTATATTGTGTGAAAGTTACATTGTATTGAAAATCTACTGTATTACTTGTCACATGCCTTCACATAATATAAAGTAATATTCACAAGTTTCACGATAATTTTACATTTATATTACGTGAATGTTAAATTTCACACACTTCTCTAGAAAATGTGCATTTCTCAGGAAAACCTAATATATATATATATATATGTGTGTGTGTGTGTGTGTGTATAGGGTTGTGTTCACGTAAAACTCGAAATTTTTTTACACTTGAAACTGCGAGACCACTTTTTTACACTTGAAACTTCACAATAGAACATCGTCAAGGTAAAAAAAATCCTCACCTTCATTTTTTTTTGATGTGAAGTTTCAAGTACAAAAAAGTGGTCTCACGTGATCCCAAGTCTTTCTCTCTCTCTCTTTATGTATATATTTATATATAGATATACAGGATTGGGTTCCGGTGAGAAGTAGAATTAGGGTGAGAAGTGTAAGAAGGGATCTTCACCATTGGATGCACATTAGGATGAGATGCACAGAGATGCGCCAGATCAATACCCATATCAAGCGCCATTCATGAGTGGGTTTGAGATTAAAGGTGATCAAGGTCCAGATCTCTTCTTACGCTTCTCATCTTAACTCTCCTCACATGATCCTTCGCCTATATACATACATTATATATATATATATATACGTGATAATAATCAGATGAAAACCTCAAAAATATTAGAGTTCTTTATATATATTTTTTTTTTTCAATTAAAGCTATGATTTTAGCTATTGTTTCACATATGTTCGTGTTCATATAGTGAATAAAATCCATGTGGAACTTTTTTTTGGTTCATACAGTGAAACGAAAAATACACGTAAAAAAGTCACAGTGTGAAACAAATGCATGTGAAATTTTCACATCATGAAACAATTATATGTGAAACAATACCTTAAATTCTAGTATTGATGAGAAAAAATCATGCAAAAAAATAAATTTTAACCGATTCTCACGGGTTTATAACCTTGTTTGTGGTTCTCATTTGATTTAACTCCTATATATCCCTATATATATGGATATATATATATATATATACACACATATATAGTAATTTATTTATTTGGTCTTTCAATGTAATTATTTATTTTGTTCAAAACTAGTATTAATTGTTATTTGGGAATTAATGAACCTTCAACAAATTTTGAATTCTTTTTATTTAGCAAACTATAATAAATTTTATTCTCAAATTTTTGAGAAAGATTTAAATAATGATATATACATTTGTTCACACCTAATATTATAAGATATATTGTAGTAGTATATTAGTTTTTTCAATTTTGTTTTTAAATTTATTATAATATATTCTAAGTATTTTAGTTTTAAGTATCCATTTGTATTATATATAAGGGGCTTAATCATTAATATTAGAACTTCAAAATTTGTGAGATCCGTAAAAACTTCTATCTTAAAGTGTTTCACATGATTTTTCCATCTAAGTATAGTAATTAATACATTGATTACCATATGTTTGTTTCACAATGTGATGGTTTCATATGTATTCGGTTCACAATGCGAAACGTTTTTACCTGTATTTTTGTTTCACAAGCATGCCCAAAATGTTCACGTTGTGAATTGAGTACATGTGAAACAAATATATGTTAATCACTCTATTAAATTCTAGTCATAGATGAATGAAAGATCATATGAAATAGCACGTGATGCAATGGTTCTCTAAGATCTCACGGTTTAAAGAGTTCTCAAAAGAATGTTCCCCATATATAATCTCTCTTTCTCTCTCTCTCTCTCTCTCTCTCTATATATATATATATATATATATTCTTGTATATCTTAAAGAAAAAACTTCTTTATATCATTTTTAATGATACCCTACATTTTATAATTAATTATTATTATATTTTATAATATGCTAAAGATTTTGTGGGGCCCGCTTTAAATTATCTTTAAATCAACTTTTGAATAAAACATTGCACTTTTTAAAAGATGATGTTTGTTTGTAAATATATTAGAGTATATTTGTAACAACCTAGGACTTGTTAATTTTTTTTATATATGAGCCTATTAAATTGATTAATTCCTTTTCTTTAAATATTCATATATATATATATATATATTATATTGGCCATTTAATGTTGTTTATCTTTTATTTTTAATTTTATCTTGTCCTGTAAATTTTTAGGGTGCGTTTGGTATGCATACTGGACATGACAGGACAAACAAATTTGAGGTAGGCAGAGTGAGAATTGCGCTAGGTTTTAGGGTTTTAATTTCACATTGGCAATTTTGCTCGTTTTTTTTATATCCGAGTCTCATTGTCGCACCAAACATAGGACAAGTTTTTGTTATGTCATGTCTCGTCCAGTTCGCGTGCCAAACGCACCATGAACATCCTAAAATTCAGAATTACACTATTTTTATGATAGGAGAAAGAAATTAAATATTATGAGCATTAAATTAAAATATTATATTATGAGAATACCAAAAAAAATCATATATATTATAGGAAAAAAACAAAAATACAAAATAGATTTTGATAAAAAGGTTGGATTTTGTAATAAAAAAACAAATTTAATTCAAATCCCGTGCTATAAAGTCCCGAGTCTCCACGCATAAACCATTGAACTCAGAAAGATCTTATCAGAGAAATAAAGAGGAGAGACTATGGATTCATCGTCCATTGAGCTACTTCTTAATCCAGGCTCCATTTTCACTCCAAGAATTTGGAGCAATATGCTGACTAACTTTTCACAAATTCCGAACCTATATCGTAGACTGGATGTTATTCGAAACATGAAGAGTAAATTAGAAACAGAAGCCTCAAAATTCGCAGCTGAACCAGAGTCATACCCAATATCCATAATGTTTCTCGAGGACAGTAAGCCTTTTGTTCGTTAATGCATTTCCACAATATTTACCATGTTTTTATGCCGTTTTTATATCAGCGAAGTCCCTAAAAGGGTTTTGAATGATTTAAGTTTTTAAATTTGATTTGTAGTGACAAGTTACAAAATTTCATTATTTCTTTATATTTTTAAAGTAAATCGATGGTTGGAGCCAAGCCAAGACTTTATAGCACCTATTTCTTTTTAATTTTTGTTTTGTAAGCTCGAGATTTTTGCTGAAACAACCTCTCTGCCCATTGGCAAGGTTGTACTTCTTACCCCCACCCCCACCCTTGTGTATGTATTTGGAATACAAGGGGTTCATTTAATTTGGTTCTTTTATTGTTCGAATACTCGATTTGTATGCTCTAATACATTTAGTTTTTACTTCAGCTATAAAATCCCTAGAGGAAGAAGAGGCAGCTATTGTGGAAAACATCAAAAAAGGTCGAACACATGTCACACGTAAGTAACGAGTTGTATCTTTTATATGATTTGGTGAAATTTTAAATACTTGTATAACTCCAGATTAATTGTAAATTACACATTTTTATACATGAATTTGTAAAATAGATGTAGGGAATGCGGGAGCAGGGACTTCACGCCAAAGGCGCTATGCTAATGTTTCTCACCACAATGGTATGTTGTTCCGTATGGTTCAAAAGGGTCAATAAATTTTCATTTTAGGAACATACTTGTAGAAGACATGTTTAAGAGTATTTTGAAAACCATCTATTTTAGAGAAGTACTTTCAAAGGGCGTGCGGAAAAATAGACCATTTACTACAAAAAACTGGCTTTATAGGACGTCTAAATTGTAAGTATTCTTATAAAATACTTTATAGGACCAGACCAACAAGTGTTATATCTAAAAGTGTTACAATAGGTTTATTGGACGTTTTTAGATGTTTCAACAAGTTTTTTCAACAAACATCCTATCTAAAAGTGTGGTATTGATTATTTTTAATTAATCTTTTGGATTCCTAATTAAATACTTCATTGACATTTAATACGTTTGACGAAAAGGTCAAATTGAAACGGAAAAGAAGGAAAGTAATGGATGAAATTGTCGTATATTTATTTCTTTACCATTATATATCAATTGAGGTAATTATTTTTTGTCTATTTTACTTTTATTACATTTTATTCTTGCTATTGATTTTACCCCAATACTTTTTGCATTTATACGAATTAAATTTACAATTTAATGATGCATTTGTATTAATTTTTTAAGATTGGTTTTCCAAACTACTATTGAATTTGTGTTTGTGTATATAGCGGGCCTATGTTGTTTATTAATTATGTGCGTGCATATGTGATTCCTTGAAAAAAAAGCGAAAGTTCATATGTGAATCGGTGAAAAATCCATTTGAATGTGATATATGGACTCATGAATAATCTTTAATGTTTGTTCATATATACATCTTTAAACAGATTTTTTTTGGATTTTTTCAATTCATTCACATATAAATCTTCCCTTCCTATGCTTTCTCGCGATATTTAGTCTTCTTATCTGAATCAGCTTGTAGACAATATATACATAAAGTGAGGTTCAGGGAAAACCCCCCCAAAAAATGAAAAACTGATGAGCGCTCTAATAATCATTATTATCTATGAAGTGTGCAGATGTGCATACAAGTAATTGAAGATGTACCATGGTTTCTATGCACATGTGCATGTTATGCACATGTTCATGTTATGCACATGTTCATACTATACATAATACGAATGAATGGTTATTAAGGTGTTTCTCGGTTTTCCATTTTTGCGGTTTTCCTTTGAACCCGACCCTATATATATATATATATATATATATATATCATCCAAAAGTTTTTGTTCTCAACAAACTCATTTGTTCTCACATGATCCCAATTCTCTCTCTCTCTCTCTCTCTCT